TCATGCGGAAGCGGCTTTAGCTTCTCAGTGCTGTGCTTTAACCCGCTGCGCCACCAGGGAGGGCCCTAAAGATTTATTTTTTTATGCAGACAGAACTGGGGTACAGGCCAGAGATGTGGAAGGGTGAGAGGATTCACCAGACATGAGTGGGGAGCAGAACAGGCAGATTACTGAAACCTACTGCTGAAGGGAGTAGCGGGGAGACAGGAGAGGTCTGCTGTGCCCTGTGGGTCACCTCCCTGGCTTGGGGATTGAACCCTTGCTGCAGTGGCTGCGGACAGCCTCATAGTTTGAGACTAACCCTTTGTGCCATCAGGGAGGCCCAAGTTGAAGTACGTTTTCAGTGTTGTTGATCCCCTAAGGGCGTGGTCAGTCGGATTTGCTAACTCTGGGCCACCATAGAGGAGAGGCTGGGCCAGTTACGCTTGGCTAACACTGCTCCTTTTGTCACTGGCCTCAGGACAGGCTGGACTGTGCTTCCTCATCATATTGAGGAGCTAACACAACCCTAGTGCTCTACGTAATGCTGGAGTGTCCGGTTCTTCTGGATATACAGTGCAGACAGGATCTTAGTGCTGCACTGTGTACAAGTTGCCCTGGACACTGGGGTTCCACTTGACGGGGGGGTGATAGGAAAAGAGTTGCAAAGAACAATCTTTCTCAGGCATCCACCCACTGTTCAGTCTGTTTCTGCAGTTTAGATACCCCTGCCCACCCCACCCTTTTCCCCCAGGGCACCACAGAGGAGAAGACTGGCCTGTGCTGTGGCCCCGACTTGGAAGGCTTTATTTACAGTCTGGTTTTAGAGGCAGAAAGATGCATTTCTGTTTAGACCCCATGGCCAAAATAAAACTATATACGATAGAGTGGTGGGATATAGATGCTATTGCATGTGTACATGGTGAAATACTACTCAATTATAAATAAGAAAATGAAGTCTTAATGTTTGTGACAACCTGGATGGAACTGCAAGGGATAATATAAGTCAACTAAAAAGAAACATGGAGGAACAAAGTAAAGGAGCTGACAAAACTAAGGCCATAGAAATCCTAGAATCAGATTGTAAAGTAAGGGTACCAGAAGGGCTGGGGGTGGGGGTGGGGGGAGTGGAGGCCCCATGGACTGTGATGGGGGTTTATGGGCGCTCTGCTGGTGGGCGTGGCGTGGAAGCATACATCCGAGGGGGGTGGATTTATACCCTTAACTCAAAAGCAAGCAGTGTTGTTGTCAACTAACGTTATTTCAATAAAAAAAGACAAAGGAAAATGGTAGAGATTTCCTAAAAACCTTCCCTGTTTTTTCTCTTTTAATTAGAAAAACTTTCATCCAGTTCCAAATGTGGACTCTACATACCTGGAGTCTTTGTTTCTGTCCTGTCCACGGGGAGTTATACCTTTTCAGGCAGGTTCCAGCAGCTACGAACTGAGCTTCCAAGGTGAGATTTGAGCCTAAAGTTGGGCTCTGATACGCATGCATGCACACACGCATGCACACATGGAAGAAAAAAAATAACTGGGCATGCAGTTTTTATTTTATTTTTTATTTTTGTGGAAGCCTTATCTATACGTTAAATGGAAATAACATAGAGGATTAGCCTGTGCCTCAGTTGAGGACTGACAAAACCAATTAAGATATTAAACTGCAATGGAATACTAGGCTGCTGTTAAAAATGTTGGTTATGAAAACTAAGTGGGAAAGCAAAATTTGACATTACTGTGAAAAAGGCAAAAACCTACATTTATGTTCTTATACTATTCTCTTTGTATGTTATACTTACAATGATAATGTTAATTTCGTGTGCATGAATAGCAAAGAATCTCAATGGATCAAGATTAGCAGGCAACAGAGAAAAATCTTCTGTTGGTTGGTGAGATGAAAAAAATACTTAAAATTAAAAAAAAGTTTATTTGGTGGTTTTCTGCTTGGCAGTTGAAGGGGGTGGAGAAGTGAAGATAATCAGTGTACTTTGAAATTCTGGAGCAATTTGATCAATCCTGTTGTTTACTTGGTTCATAGAAGTCAGTGTGGAGAAGTGTAGCGTGTTCCAGATTGTTTTTCTCAATGTCCTATAATCTCTCACTCACTAAACTTGTATTGTGGTGCCAGGCACTGTTCCTGGTGCTGGCAAACCAGACAACATCATAATGGGCTAATAGCGATGTGGGGGTAAGAGGGATGGAATGATGTGTGACGAAGCAGGAGAGGATGAAGGAGTATGGGAGCTGTCTCCCCTCAGGAGGGAACTTTGGAAATGCAGCGGGAGTTTGCCTGCAACAAGGAGGGTCTTCAGAAGAAGGGCTATCCTGAAGCTGTGAGCACTGACAAGCTTGAGGTGTCAGAACAGCAAAAATCTGAGGGATGAGAACATACAGGCGCTTGGGTGGGTGATTAGCTGGAAACCACAAGAAGGTTTTGAACAGAGCCGTGCCATGATCTGAGTTGCTCTTTTAGTTGGTTGGTTGTTTTGTTTTATATCAACTATATTGGGGCACATTTGCTATAATAAAGCACTTCCATTTTTGCTGGGTTGTGGATGAACGGAAGAGGATCCTAAGTTACAGAATATTTCCCTCAATCCAAAAAGTTTGTGTCCCTCTGCAGTCACCCCCACACCAACCTCACCCCCACACCAACTGATTTAGTTTCTGTCCCTTCAAATGAGTTTTATGCATTCTAGAGCTTCACATGCTGCATATGACTGGCTGACTTTCCCTCCGAGTACTTTGGTGAATTTGACCTGCTCCATTTGCAAGTTTAAGATGTACAGTGTAGTACTTTGATATTTATATATTGTGATATGATTGCCATTTAAGCCATATTCATCACAATACAACATTGAGACTCCATATTGTTTTTCAAAATAATATTTTTAAGATTCATCTATGCTGCTGCATGATTACCAGTCCCTTTTAATTGCTGGGTGATATTCCACTGTATGGCTATACTATGGTTTGTTTATTTATCTGTTGATGTATAGTTGGGTTGGTCTTACTTTTTGATTATTGTAATAATGCTACTGGAGACATTAAAATGTGAGTCTTTGTGTGAATATAGGTTTCATTTGGAGCGATCATCCAGGAGTAAATTGTTGGATCACATTAGTGTGAATATGGAAATTTGTAAGAACCTGCCTGTTTTCCAAAGTAGATGTGCGCATTGAGACATTGGCTAGCCATGTGCTGTGGCCAGTAACTCTTTAACGAGTTCAGTCTGGATGCCCTTAGCTCTGCAGAGTTGAAAATGACCTTTCACCTTTGCTGTAGGGAAAAAAACTTTCAAGTTACAACTAGTATCTTCTAGCCTATGTCAGTGATATCTGGTTTAGGGGATTTTAAAGGGATGATACTTTGTTATCTGACTGACCTGCTCTTTACCATCAGACTTTTGTTAGCATTTAGATTGCTTGCTGAATGTTTATTTTCCTGTTTGTTTTTTGGATCTTATAAAAGGACATTGATTTTTTTTTTCTTTTAGCATGAGTAAATTCCATCCAAAGGAATTTTGCTGTTCATCTATGTACAATTCAGTCACAAATGTCTACTATATCACTAGCCTTTGAAAATAACAATAAATCATTTTCTAGGACTAATTTTTGATTCTTAGTTGTTTTCTTTTTTCCATCTAAAGGGATGATTCAGACAAATGTAACTTCCAGGACCCAAAAGGTGGTCATCAGAAGACCCACATTTGTGTCTTCCTTGGATGTGGAGCGGCTTAAACATAGATCAGAGTAAGTTATGCAGCGCTGCTTACGTTCACACTGATCTCGTCAAATCACGCACGTCCTTGGACCATTTGCATGAATTGTTCCAGCTTGCATTACACCGTGGCTTCTTTTAGTGTTGTCTGACTATGGTGCTGTCCTGGTGGCATGGTGTGAGTGCGGGAGAGCTGTCCTTTCCTCTCACTCCCAGGGCAGTTTGGCAAGCCCTCAAACACGCTGGACCCGCACTTCTTTGGTGTGAATGACTGGATTCATGGGGTGTGCCTAGGGAATCAGCAACTGCACAATGGCTGGGTTCCTTTTGCTGTGGATTGTTCTTTGTTCCTTTCATTTTGCTGAGTGAAAATACAGGGGGTGGGATGCAGAGAAAGAAATGAGAGAAGAAAGGCATGAGACAGTGGTCTGAGCAAGGCCGCTGGAGATAAAGTTGATTAGAGGGAATTTTAAAAGGATTCATGCTTTCAATGTAACCCTCCTCTGTCTGCAAATGAGATTCAGTAAAATCTACATTGTTCATGAACTTTGTGTGTTTTTTTTGGGGGGGGAGCGGGTGAGGTGTGATTATGTAAAGCAGTTTTCAAAGCAGGTATAACATCAAGGTTACCTCATTAGTGTCTTTGGGTAGTACCAGTTAAGGCATCTCGCCATGAAGGATAAACATGGTGTAATATAGAAAATGACGTCTTGTGAGATTCCAAGGATGGGAACTGAATTATAACCCGGGGCCTCAGGAATGGCAGTTGGTTCTAATTCTGCCTTAAAACCTGGCCTCCTGACCCACCCACTGCTCCCCTCAGCAGTGTACTTCGTTGATCTGCCTGTTCTGCTCCCCACTCTGTCTCAGGTGAAGTTGTTCACCACCCCTGAGTCTCTGGCCTGTACCCCAGTTCTGTATGCACAAAATAAATAAATCTTTAAAAATTAAAAAAAAAAAATAAAACCTGGCCGCTTGGGCTCCCAGATCCTTTCTAGGACCTGGATCCTGGATCTGCATCTTAGTTCATCTTCTTTCCTCGCCTCATGAACAATCCTGCATCCCCTTGTCTATGAAATGGGCTTAATAGTAGTTTCATCAAAGTGGCTTACTGACTACATTTAAGGTGTAGTCAATAAGGTGTAGTCAACGTGACCAGCACATTGGGGTTCAGTATTGTTAGTGACTCTTATTTTTATTCGTTTGATATCAACAGACTCAGTGACCATGTTTGTCTGTCTATCTAGCTGTGTATCCCATCCATCCACCCAACCCAACCCAACCCAACCCAACCTAACCCAACCCATCCATCTCTAATACTTGACAATTTGAACCTCAGGGCTGCAATCTTCCTACCCTTCACTTTGCCCAATGCCCCATGGTCTCAACTTCTCTGAATTTCTTGATGTAAGCTCCCAAGAATTAGAATCTGACTGTGCTCTTATTGGTCTCTTCATGTCTTTTAGAATCAAGTTAATATCACAGGGTTGGAGGGAGGGGTCCGTTTCCTGCCTGTAGGCGCTACATTCACTCCGAGTGGAGGGGACTTTCTGAGGAACTGCCACAGTGGTGGAAGGCAGTGGGTGGGGAAGAAGGAGGAACTGGAGGGCAGCGGGAGATGTGGTTTTCACTCAGGCAACTAATCAGACCATCGTAGCAACTTTTACTCACTAAAATGGTTCTGGTAAGAGGTTTTGGCGATATTTTTGTCATTTTTTAAAAAGGAATAAAACTAGATATATCTTTAAAAATCTGAGTTCTGACTTTTGAACAACTCTCATACTCTCATTGTCAGAAGACCATATATGTATCTACTTTATTTTTTTTTAAGATTTATTTTATTTGTTTATATATATATATATATATATATAAGAGCTGGGGTGTAGACCAGGGTGGGGATGAGAGAATTCACTAGAGAGAGTGGGGAGCACACCAGGTAGATCCACTGAAACCCACTGCTAAAGGGAGCAGCGGGTGAGACAGGAGCGGTCTGCTGTGCCATGTGGGTCAGCTCTTTGGCTGGGGATTGAACTCATACTGCAGTGGCTGTGGCTGGCTTCATAGTGCTGCACTCCAACCCCTGCGCCACCCGAGATGCCCAGAATCTACTTTCTTGTCTCCAAGCTGGGGGGGTTCTTTCTGTGTCTACGTATTAGGCTCTCGGAAGAGTCATGACACATTTTGCCTATGTTTTTCAAAGAAAAGTATATCATGACTTTTCTGACACCCTGGTATTTCCAAGGGAAAACATTAGCTGATGACACTTCCAAATATCTCATGCCATCGATCCATTTTCTGGCTTACAGATTTCACAGCTGCCTCATGCTTTTCCATTTGCTCTTCTCCTTCTCTGGGAACTTTCTTCCATCACTTATGAATCCAGACTCTTCTGCATCCCATTTCCAGTGCCTTCTCCCATACTAATTTCTCTGGTGACTCCCTCCAGGCCCCCTGCCCTTTGCCCTCCAGCAACAGTTTGTAAGTTTCTTACCTATTTACCCTCATGGCAATTACCCCGAACTCTCTCCTAGCATAATCCTTCCATCCCAACATAATTATCATTACTTCAGAGCTCTCAAAAATGTTTACATAGGATGTTCCCTGGTGGCACGATAGGTTAAAGCATTGTGACGCTTATTACAGCCACTGCAACATGAGTTTGATCCCCAGTCAGAGTGGTGACCCCACACGGCGCAGCAGACCTCTCCTGGCCCACCCGCTGCTCCCCTCAGCAGTGTGCTTTGGTCGATCTTCCTGTTCTGCTCCCCACTCTGTCTCTGGTGAATCCTCTCACCCCCTGCACTTCTGGCCTGTACTCCAGTTCTTGTATGCTTAAATAAATATTTCAAAAAATGTTTTGCATAATGAGTAGGTATCTAGCTTTACTGAAGAGATAGCTAAATGGGTAAGTGAAAAAAAGCAATCAAGACTATGGTGATGGCACATGGGTGACTTGGTGATGGGAAACCCATGGGGATTACAATTGAGATTTTAAAAAAAATGCACAAAATGATGTAAAAATAAACTATTAAATATTAAAAAAAAAGCAATCGAGAAACCTGTGCAGTTGGAGGTTTGTAAAGGCCAGCTTTCTTCCTGATACCACCGATGCAGGAAGACACACCTGTTTTAGGACAGAATAAGAGCTGAGCACTCTTCTGAGGAGTCGGAAAGTGAACTGGAGCTCACCTCACTGCTGGGCACCTTGCAACAGGTGTATCTGTTCTACTCTGTACAAATCCAATCTGGAGGAAATCGGAGCCTTGAGGACAGAAGTACTGGCACCTAGAAGCTCTCCTCTGAAAGAATTTTCATTTTGTGCAAGGATGGCTTAAAAGTATTTTTTCCTTAAAGCATTTTCTTAATTTCAAATTTTCATTATGGAAAATTTCAAGCTTACAGTAGATAAAACTTGTACACTAAGCCTCGAAGTATGTGTTCACGGAGGGATCGTGTCGAGAGCCCCCACATGTAGGGTTGTCCTGAAATACATTTCACTCTGGACCTTAAAATTTAAATGTTTATTATTTGACACTGACTGCTAGTGCATTAGGACTTTGGAGACTGAACAGAACTATCAAAGGAATCAATGCTTTTGCATTTTAAAGCAAGAGGGAAGGCCCAGTTAATTAACTTACCAAATCATGAATAATTAATGCACAAAAACACATGATCATTGGTATAGTCACCTGCAATAGGAAGGAATGTAGTAAGAGAAAAATTTGTCTGAAATACCTTGACTACTAATGATTGCAAGTTTAGTCAGGAAGCCCCAGGCTTGCAAGACACAGGGAGCCCTGAGAATGTCCTGCTTTTATTTGTAGCCATTTGCCAGTGAACATCAATCCAGAGCCAGTTCGGAGGGCCCCCAGCCTCCTGACGACCCTATCGGAGCCTTCTCATCAGAGGAGCACGGGTCTCCCGCCCTCCAGTGGATTTGAGGTACTGGGAAAAAATACCTGGCTGCAGACGTGTGCCTTTGTATGGATGAATTGCTCCTACAGTGCTAAATTTGAGGTTCAGAGGTCACCCAATTTCTGTCCTGATGTCACTTTCCCAGAGAACAGCTGCCCTCACTGGACGCCTCCTGTGTCCACAGGCCAGTCACCCATGATCTCATTTGGGTGACCTTCTGCAGGAGATAATATCTCTTTAGACTAGACACTGGGCCCCAGAGGAAAAGGAAGTTCATGTTCATGAGCGGGAGTCAGCGTCAAACTGTGTCTCCGTTCACCTCACCTGCCTGGCGCCAGACCCAGGCCAGGCTGGTCCTCTCCACCACCCTCTTCAGCGCTGGGTGTGGCCCGGCTACTCTGGCTCCATGGATAATGCCATTGCCTTTGTCTATGGACTGACTTCAAGCCAGGAACTCACTGGACTAAATCAGATGCCTGCTGGGTTGGGTGGGGATAAGGCCTTGGAAGGCATTTCCCTTGGCTTTTTGTTATATGTGGTAAGCCAGCCTGGACAGATGGGCCTAAGGCCATGTTCAGTATTGGAATGAGCTGCCAGCTGTGGACATCGTAAACCAGCTTATCTGGGCCCTCCCTGGTGGCGCAGCGGGTTAAAGCACAGCACTAAGAAGCTAAAGCCGCCTTAGCATGAGTTCGATCCCCGCCCCAGAGGTGACCACATGGCAGACCTCTCCTGACCTGCCCGCTGCTCCCCTCAGCAGTGGATTTCAGTCCATCTTCCTGTTCTGCTCCCCGCCCTGTCTCTGGTGAATCCTCTCGCCACAACATCCTTCCCACCTCTGGCCAATACCCAGTTCTTCATACATAAATAAATACATTTTTTAAACTAATGTTTTCTGTGTAACACTTATGCATTTAACTTATTTTTATTATTATTTTTTAGTTATTAGAGGTCAATAGCCAGACTTCGGAATATGCCAATGTAAGGGAGCGTTTTAAAGCTTCTATGAAGAATTTCAAGATTGAAAAGATAAAGAAGATCCAGAATAGGAAGCTTTTAAATTCTTTTGAAAGGTTAGTGGCTACATTATCAGGTTTCCTTACATAATGCTGAAAAGACTAGTTGGGATCTAGCCTTCAAGTTTTGTATTTACCAGTTTATTTCGGTGAAGTAATTTCTAGAAGCTCTCGTTGCTTTTTCTTTGTTCAAAGTCGAGCATCTCTTTTTCAAGCTTTAGTTTTACAATTCACTGTTTCCTGTGTCTATTGTTAAAAAGTTTTCACAAATTTAGTTTTTATAACTGTCATCTAATGGTCAGTAACTCCATAATGCAATGCGATAGAATAAAAATTTAAGACAGTTACACTTCAGTTGGCATTTATATTCACCAGCGTGGGAGAGGAATGTTCCAGTACTGAGCCTCTTTTCTCCTTCATTAGGAAGAAAATGAACATGTTGAAGAATGATGAAGAAATCCTATTTTTTGCAGCAAGCCGTGCCCACGTGGCCATGATCTGTGCGAATAATTTTGACTGGATTGTCCTTGGCACTCATGAGAACAAATATGGAAAAGGTTTGTATTGGGGTGGGCTCACCAGGAGTCAAACGTCGAGGTTGATGTGTGCTTCCTCTGGAGGGATGAGCCTTTACTAGGTGTTCGCCAGCTCTAGCAGGCTGCCACTGCCCTGGAGAGATTAGAGATGTGGTTTAACCCTAAGTGACCCAAATTAGAGAAGAACATTGACAAGGGACTTGGTTGTTGCACCTTAGCCTTGGTCCTGTCTTCAGTTTATTTTGGGGAGAGGGACCAAAGGGTCTCCCACGTGCCCAAAAACTACCCCACCTGTAGGCTACATTGTTGTCCACCACTACTCATTTCTGGCCATGCTTCTCTCTGGCCTGTGTCCATCCCTGGAAGCCACCTGATGTCATTTCCTTGTGTTCTGTTCAAAGAGGAGCAAAGAGGGCCTCCCTGGTGGCACAGCAGGTTGAAGCACAGTGCTACAAAGCTGTCCCCAGCCACTGTAGCATAAGTTCGATCCCTGGCCAGGGACTGACCTACATGGTACAGCAGACCTCTCCTCTCTCACTTGGTGCCCCCCTCAGTAGTGGATTTCAGTAGATCTGCCTGTTCTGCTCCCCACTCTGTCTCTGGTACATTCGCTCAACCCCTGCACCCCAGTTCTTGTATGCATAAATAAATCTTTAAAAAAAAAAACAAGAGGGGCCCTCCCTGGTGGCGCAGCGGGTTAAAGCACTGCACTAAGAAACTTAAGCCACTTCCGCATGAGTTCGATCCCGGCCTGCCCCGGAGGAGATCCACATGGCGAGGCAGACCTCTCCTGACCCGCCGGCTGCTCCCCTCAGCAGTGTACTTCGTCGATCTGCCTGTTCTGCTCCCCACTCTGTCTCTGGTGAATCCTCTCACCCTCCGCACCTCTGGCCTGTACCCCAGTTCTGTATGAATAAATAAATCTTTAAAAAAAAAAAAAAACAAGAAAAAAAAACAAAGGAGGAAAGAGGCATCTACCCATTTCAGGGCATACAGGGGAATGAGGTAGCCTTATGCTTCTAAATATCTTCATGCCACTTTTTTTTTTTTTTTTTTTAAGAAACAGATTTTATGTATACAGAAATGGGATACAGGCCAGAGGTGCAGGTGTGGCGAGAGGATTCACTAGAGACAAAGTAGGGAATGGAACAAGTAGATCGACAAAGTACACTTCTGAGGGGAGCAGCAGGTGAGACAGGAGAGGTCTGCTGTGCCATGCGGGTCACCTTTGGGGCAGGGAACAGACTCACACTGAAGCTGCTACTACTTGGCTTAGCTTCACAATGCAGCGCTCCAACCTGCTGCGCCACCAGGGAGGGTCCCATGCCACTCTTTAAAAAAAAAAAAAGATTTATTTATTTGTGCATATAAGAGCAGGCATGTAGGTCAGTGGTAGGAGGTGGTGAGAGGATTTACCAGAGACAGAGTGAGGAGCAGACTGACTGAAATCCACTGCTGAGGGGAGCAGTGGGGAGACAGGAGTAGTCTGCTGCGCCATGTGGATCAGCTCCCTGGCTAGGATTGAACTTGTGTTGCAGTAGCTGTGGAGAGCGTCATAGCATTGCACCTTAACCCTTTGTGCTACGAGAGAGGCCCCTTCATGCCACTCTTAAAAAAGCTAATGAACAAATGAGTGAATTGCATATCTTAAAGGAACAAATAAGATTTTATCACAGTCTCAAAGTGGTCCCAACTCACGTCCCTCTTAAGCAAGAAGCCAGGCAGTCAGTCAGTCAACAAGTACTTTGGAGTGTTGGGTGCCGGGGGACAGGTGTGAACAAGTTAGATCCTCCCAATTATTTCACATAATTAATGAAATGATCATCAGTCTGACTCCTATAGAGGAACAGGCCCTTACCTGGTTGGAGAGGTGTCCCCAAGAAAGGAATCTGGGGGTATTCACCTGCCTGTGGAATTAGCATGTAGAGTCCGAGACAATGGTGAAGAATTTATGGCCACACAGTGGAACTTGGATTTGACCCTATAGATGTAGGAAGGAAGCCAATGATGGTTTTAAGATGGGGGGAGTGAGAATTTCACAAGTTTATTAAGTTAAAATGAATCACTAAAACTTGCCTGCAAATGTTTGGAGGAAGTGTGGTAATCATCTTGAGTGAAATAACACATGTGAAATCTGAACCCTTCAGCTTCTCAGGAGAGTCAAGTCAGGACTCAAATATTTACCTAGAAAGTGGAAATCCATATGTGTTCCTCATTTTTGATCAAGATGCTAAGTGCCTGGAAAGAAACAAAAATGTTCTATTGGAAGAGGATATGTCTATTTAGAAAACTCGAGAATCTCCAGAGACCTGATCGTATCTAATTGTACGACATACCTTTCTTTATATTAATTCTTAACCCTTCTGATTATTTCTAGGAAATTACTTCACAAAGGATGCCATCTCTTCCCATAAAAATTACCCATTTGACCCCAAGAACATCGTCATGTTTGTAGCCCGAGTCTTGGTTGGAAATTTCACCGAAGGAAATAAGGTGTACACGTCCTGTCCTCTCCCCTATGACAGCTGTGTGGATACGAGGGTGAATCCCTCCACTTTTGTCATTTTTGACAAAGATCAGATTTACCCACAATATGTCATCGAATATACCGAAATAGACAAAGGTTGTGTGATTAGTTAGAAATGCTCAGTATGGGTCCTGCTGTGGTTCCAGAGACCAGTCAGCCTTTCTATTTCCTCGTCAATTGATCAACTTTCTCCCATCAGGGGTTCCCAGACTTCACTGCCCAGTTAGGAAACTTTTCAAAATTCTGGTGTCCAGCTTGCACCTCCAGGTATTGATTCATTTCAAAATTTAAAAATTTGTACTTCTGGGGTATGATGTAGG